ATGCCTTTGATTTCCCTTTCCTGCCTTATGGCCCTGGCTAGGACTTCCAGTACAATGTTGAATAGAAGTGGTGACAGTGGACATCCTTGTTTGGTTCCTGTTCTCAAGGGGACATTCCACACATTTTTTTAAAGAACATATATAAAATGCCAAGGACATTGAAAGAGGCATCATGAGATACAGAAGAGGAAGGGTAATAAATGGGGATGTTAGTTGAAGGGTGCAGGAAGGAATAGGCATGCAGAAACAGCAGAAGGTAGGAGCCCTAACTCAAGGTGAAATGGGAGGAAGGGGTGAATGAGAAAGAGAGGAGCCTGCAAACTCCAGAAGGAAGGAAGAAAGGAAGAGGGACAGGAAAGTTGGTGGATGAGCAAAGGGTGAGCATGGAGCAAGAAGCCCAGAGCCACCAGACAGGGTCCAAGGCCTGAAGACCATGTGCACCAGGCTCAGGCTGCCTTCTCCACCCACCACAGCCTGGCAGTAGCTGGCTCAGGAAGAGCCAATGTGCAGGCTAGAGAAAGGTACCCTCTCTGGCCTTCTGAGGAAAAGAAAAGGCCAGAACAGACCCATGAACTGGGCTTGGTGAACAGGACACTGATGGGCTTGACAACTCCACTAGCATCTGATCTGGTGCTCCTGTGCCATGTACCTTTTTCAGTCATACATGATGGCCCTGCCTCCACCTCAGACAGGAAGGCGGTACTCACACTGTGTTACTGGAGCCACACTGCTGGGAGGAGGCAGAGCTGACAGGAGTGTTCAAGGAATCTCCTTCCTTCTAAGCCCTTCCTCTAATAAGACATTAAATTCCTACTACAACATTGCTGAACAGCCTGCCCGGGAATTATCTAGAACTTCAGAGTCAAGGAGGTAGCCTCTTCCTTTCTTGATTAAGTCAATAGGGAACTCGTACAGTTGGATTATGGGGAGAGAGACTCAAGAAGAATGATGAAACTAAGGTCCAAGCCTGGGAGGAGTCTTAGCAGGAAGAGTTATATTAGCAGCTGTGAAACACAAGATGCTCACTCTATAATAAGTCGTCTACTTTTTACTTGCCCTGTCCCAATACCCACTACAAAGGGAAGAGGTTTAACTTACACCCTAAAATTTACCAAAAGGAAAATTCTACCCCATTGCTGTCCCCAAATGTTCTCACCTTCTCCTTCACAACAGCATTTGTCAGATGAAAAGCACTCCAACACCACACCACCACTCTACGTTGGTTTAGAGGCAAAACATACACAACAATGACGTATCTGCAGTAGCAATGGGCCAGGATAGTATGCTACACAACCAGGACAAGGGCATTAGCACATTTCTAAATATGTCTGACCACCTGGTCAATAAATAGCAGAATATTCTACAATAACCTTAGCAACCACTGACGAAGAAACCCAATGAGCACTGGCCCAGCATGCTATGACCGTGGACCTAAATTACTGCCTCCCTCCAGCCTCCTGCCTCCTCAGGAAATGCATATTCAGAAAAGGTGCTCAGTGAATTCATTGGGCTAACAGAACTGCTACACTAAGTTGCGTTTCTCTTTCTTCTAGTTCCTCCCACATCACCAAGACGTGCTTCTTGAGTTTAATTGTGGCGACAAGCAGAAACTAAGCCTGTGATATTCTACTGGGCAGATAACAGATCTCCACTTCCCTGCCATGTCTACTTCCAAGCCCTGAGTAGGATCTGTACACATGATTTGATGTTTGCAGTGGTGAAAATGACAAGATAGGACTTAGAACTGCCAGGTTATGGAATGATCCATAATGAGCACCAATGCATATGAAACTGACTCAAATAAGTGTTAGTGTTTAAGGAGTTGACAGCAGTGTTTCACCCCATCTAGAAAGGCCTCCTTGAATTTGTCATTCCTGAGAGTAAAGATGAAAGGGTTCAGGAAAGGGGTCACCATGGAAATCAGCAGGGAAATGATCTTGTTGTACTCAGCTGCCTGTGTTTGCTTGGGTTTCACATACAGGAAGAAGCAAGTGCCATAGCCAATGACCACAAAAGTAAAATGAGAGGAACATGTGGAGAAAGCTTTCCTGACCAGAGGCTGAGGGGATCCTGAGGATGGGGGAGAAGATGTAGGTATAGGAGATGATCAGAGGAATCAAAGAGCCAACAACAATGAAGACAGCCATTAAGAAGAGGACAAACTCTGTGAACAGAGTGTCATCACAAGATAGTTTGAGCAATTGTCTTCTGTCACAGTAAAAATGGTCTAACACACTGGATTTGCAGAAGGTAAACTGAAACGTGGCATAGACAGGCCAGATTTCGGAAAGAAACCCAAACACCCATGAAGCAATCACAGCCCAGGTGCAAGTGCAGGGGTTCATGATGATGTTGTACCTCAGAGAGTTACAGACAGCCACATAACGGTCCACAGCCATCACCCCCCAGTAATGCAAACTCCATGGTCCCCACAG